CAACGAAAGACTTATTCATAAATGTGGTATAGAAAAAAAAAAGTTTCCTGCACAATACACGATCAGGAATTTAAAAAAGCCTTTGAGATGTTTAATAAACACTGTTTAATTATGAAGTCGTTAGAACCATTTCTTTTTGCTCGAATTAATTGGCTATTGAAATGATCGTTCCCATAGTATTATTTTCGCTTATCGATCTTATTTAAGATTGCAAAAATTCGAGTACTATAGTTTCTAGCTACGATTTTCGAATACGAAAAATTATTCAACATTCAATGCCAACGAATAAGAGAAATTAATAAACGCTATAAAGAATTTTCTTTCTCAATCAACTGCTCGTCTTAATATTATGTCTTTTCGATTAGCCTCTCCCAAACTCTCCTATTTCATTGAAAATATAGGATCTATAAATACTAATATCAAAGTTTTATTAAAATATTTTATAAGAAAACAAAAAAGAAAAAAGAAAAATTGTCAGTAATTCCAAAATATTTTTTTCTAATTGCACGATCGTTTCTTTTGAGAAGAATTTGGCGTCGTCGCCAATAAATAAAAACTGTCTAAAATAAGTACAGTCTACGTCTCACATCCGCGCAACTAACCCACTTAACAACTTTAATAAGTTCCGCATCGAGTGTACGTGCGAGAGCAGAAATAATAATTGGCGCCTCTAGTTTCCATCGAGGCGTGACCTTGTAATTTATAAAATATGTAAACTTAGGAAGAACAAGAGCGCGCGCGCGCACACACACACACTTATACATATAGATCATAAAATATAAGAAGTATCAAAAAATTTATCGGGTAAGTAGCGTGTAATTGGAAAATTGGTTGATCGCTTAACGCGAGTTTTATAATACTTGAATATTTCCGACCCTTTAGTCGTCGATTTTTACAGTTGGTGGGCATTAAAAGAAATTTTTATCCTACCTTTATTCGAAACTATCTCATAATTTTACCTACTTTTATATCCATAGGATATCAAAATTTTCATAATATCGGATCGTTCGGATGATTGAAAAAATAAAAAAAAGAAGAAGAAAAAACGGCATTCAAAGTATGTATGTATGTACTTTGGAAATTATTGATGAAGAATTTGTAAACCTCGTTTGCCGTGGCAACATTACGTATAAAAAAACTTCCTATATAACCTACACGTTTATTTAAGATGTGCGATATCTATTTCGACTTTAATGCATCAAGTATGAAACAGAATGAAATGTCAGGGCATTTATATTTGTTCATCAAACGATGAACAAATATAGTCAAGTGTTTAAACGAGGTAAGTAAGATATACGTTGGTTTGTATTAGAGTCCGATATATATATATATATGATGGGTAAAGTAAAAAGGAAATTGTAGGAGAAGAGGCAGAGAAATAAATATAAAGTTGCCGTGCACTTGAAAAGAAGTGAAAGTTGGAGTGGTAGCGTAGCTAGATTCTCCCCTCGTTTCGAGTTAAAAGCGAATGAATCGGAGTAATCCCTAAAATATAACGATTTTTCCGCGCGAAGGCAAGATCGTGCACCACGGCACATTGGAGAAAGCGGAATGAGAAGGTTCGATCGAGGCACGAAGGTAGAAAAGAAAAGCGGCGAGCCCGAGAAAATTGGCTTTCCCCGCCGCGCGCACACCTCGCCTCATTCGCTCACCAATTCAATTACGTCCGGCAACTGCGAATCGGCGCCGCTTAAAGTGGCAGGCGAGAACAAAAGGGAGCGCACGCTCGTGCGTATGCGCGTACGCGCGTCCGAAAACAGTAATAACAATTACAGCCAACCGCGGCCGACGGCCAGACGTGAAATTGCCGGCTGATTCAATTAAAAGGCGAGAGGAAGTGTAGGCGGGCAATAGCCCCAGCGACGCCTTCGCCTTGGCTTCGGGACCCGAGGGTCATTAAGCAGGTCCCCGGCTTATCACCTTGATAAGTCTCGTCCCTTCGCCCGCCTCGCAAATCTTCTGGCCTCCAGCCGTGATTCAGCATCCTCCGGGGATTTAATACTCTTCCGGCTCCGGGAGATCCGCGTCGATTCCCGCTGCGCTTTATATTATCCTGGGCAACATAATCCTTTTTTACTTAGTCTATATATCGGCAAAGAATTAACGATCTTTGAGCTCGCAATAATGTATCCAACCAACGCCCGCCGTTCCCGTAACCACTTGGTACTCGCTTTGACCAGCAGAACCGTCCTTCCCTGCCCTCCCTGGCTTACGTAACTCTCAGGATCTCGTTTACGGAGCGTTTACAATGCCCTGCTCTCCCCCCCCCCTCTCTCTCTATCTCTCTGATTTGCCTCTTGGCTGACGAGGGTCCGAGGATTGATCGAGAGATGGGGATACCGAGGGATCAACTGGCGAGTATAGCGAATGATAGCCGAGTCCTGTTCGATAAATGGCTTTTATCGTCTACTTCCTACCACGTCTCTTGCTAAATTCCATGTTTGCTGAAATAGTCGCGCTCAAAGTCCTTTCTTTTCCGTGCAAACAAATCATTACCTATCCATTCAACACTTTCGACTTGTAAACATCACGACCAATCATCCGCCCAATTGTACGATGTAGATATCTATTTGCGCGTGCAGTAAAAAAAAAAAAAAAAAAAAAAAAAAAAATGAAAAAAAAAGAAAAAAGGGAAAAAGAAAGGAATATGATAAAGGATATGGCCGTAAAAGTAATGTTTGCAATGTGAAGAAAAATAAAGTCGAGATTATTGGCTCAGGTCGGTAGCCAATTCGCCTATAAAACTTTAACAATATTTTCCCTCCTCTTAATGATAGCACATGTTTACTTTCCCCCTTAAAGTACAGCTGGAAATATTTGTAGCTTAACGCCACACGCCCAACGATTGCAATAAATATACCCGTCCGTTTTAATAACAACAAATCTCTCTCTCTCTCTCTCTCTCTCTCTCTCTCTCTCTCTCTTGTTCGTTATTTATCGGCAGTCTTTCAGGGGGGACTTTTGACACGTACTATGTAGTAAGTGAAACCCTAAGGGCATTGAGCCCCGCGGCCGACGTCGCTTTGTTTTCGCTTTGCATCTCCGCGACGACTAGTGCCGAGTGCGCCCACCGCCACTCAAGAGACGATATTTAGGAAATGTCGTTATCGTTATTACGGCACTTACATCGCTGATCCGGGTGGCGGCGGTGCGTTTCAATCTCTTCCCTTCACCCTCCCGCGGAGTTATGCACGGCAATTATTATTTATTCATTGTTTCTTTTCCTTCTTCTTTTGATTCTTTCTCTTTTCTCTTCTCTCTCTTTTTCATCGTTTGCCTCTTCTTTTTCCTTTCGTTTCGTTTTTTTATCATTTCTTTTTTATTTATTGATTTATTTATTTTTTTTACTTTTTTTTGTTGCCTTGTTGTTGTTTTCATTTCAAATCGACGTTTCTCGGAGCGCCGCCACAGAGCTTTTTATAACATGAAATACGAAGCCGCATTTCTGGTCGACGTATGAGGTATTTCCATCTCGAGACCCAATGGACCTTAGGATTCCCTTTCTTCTTCTTCTTCTTCTTCTTCTTCTTCTTCTTCTTCTCCATCTTCTTCTTCTTCTCCATCTTCTTCTCCTTCTACTTCTTGTTCTGTTGCTGCTGCTGCTGCTGCCTCTTCTGCCTTCCATTACTTCCTCTACTTCTAGTTCTTCCTCTCTTCTCCTCCTTGTTCTTCTGTATTTCTATTTTTTATTTTCAAATCTCAAGAACGGAAGGGGAAATGCCCGATGAATAATGAATTTACTTAACGCGCCGCTCGAGCAATAGGACGTTCAATTAAGAACTTCATGGGGGCTCGAAGGATCGAAGCGCAGCGCGCATTCAATAAAAGTCTCGTGACAAAGGACTCGAGCCGTAATTAAATATTTAATCATTCGTCTCGCTATAGCCATTGTAAAGAATACGGGCGTTTTATCAACGACGCGAATCGTCGCCACCTCCGCCCCCCCCTCCCCCCTCCCCCCTCACCACCCCCCTCCTAACAATCACCCTAATCGAACCGCTGCTCGCAACGCCTATCCTTTTTACATTTCGAGAGAGATCCTTAATAATAAAGGCTGCTGGACAAAGCGCACTCAGTACCTATACTTTGCGAATTTAATGCACCGCGTGTCGATTGAATGAACGATGATACACTTGAATACCAACACGAAGATACCACGGATTATTCCCATTATAATCATTGGATTTGTAAATCGATTGACGGGCGTTTCAGTGCTGACAGCCAGCCCAGCCAGCCCAGTACCGTGTCAGCTCGCAATTCCAAACGTTATTATTTCCTCTGCCGTTATAACCCTTACTAAATCTTATCGTTATATTATAAAGGTCCTCTACGTCTGAATTTGGATGATCGGAGGGGGGAGGGAGGGGGGTGTTGGTGAGGAGCCGACGACGATGAGTAAGAGCAAGTGGTTGTTCTTAATAGAGCATTAAATAAACGTGGATTATTGTGTTAGGCATTGGATGATTATCTGATGATGGCTGAACGGATAAGCCACAATGGTTTATGACCATTTTTCGAAGCCATGGCAATTCGATGGTGTGGAAAATGGGGGGAGGTGGGGGGTGGTGGTGGTGGTGTGATAAAAACTTATAAACGAGCGTCGTCAGCCTGCTAATGCATCATAATAATGTCAGCCGTTTTGGCAATGTAATCGGGTAGCGAGACAATTTGCAAATCAATCGCTCCCGACTACTTTATTGAAAGAATGCGCGCTCAATGCGATATAATCGAGGTCACAATGGGCGAGTGACAAAGGGCGCGTCGACGCGGAGGGCGCATAAGCGAGCCGAGCAAAGGAACGCGGCCCACTATGCATTTGACAAAAGCAAAAGAACGAAATTAACGCGCGAAAATAAAGTACTTCCTGCCCCGTGAAATAGTTAGAGATGGGTGGGGGAGAGGGCCAAGCCACCTAGAGTCTTTATCTATTAAATCGCTGAAAGGTCTCGGATATGTTGGAGGAGTTATCGTATCGAGCCGGATCGGGCCGGGGAACTCACCTTGCACGCAGCAGAGCAGCAGCAGAAGGCCGATGATTACGAGGTGGTCGCGCATCCTCGCGTCGGTGCTGGTTCAGCCTGGGCCGGAGGATCGAGCCGGGACTGTGCCGGGTGATGGTCGTCGGGGACCGTGGATGTCAGATCAGATCGTGTCCGTTGGCCGGAAGCGGGCGATGATCGACCGCGCGTAAGAGTAGATGGTGTGGTTGCGCGCGCGCTCGCGTGCAGTGTAGTGCGTGCGTGCGTGCGTGCGTGCGTGGGTGGGTGGGTGGTTGGGTGGGTGCGTACGTGCGTACGTGCGTGCGCGTGGGAGGTCGGTCTACGGCGAGGTCGCGCGAGCGAGCCAGTGGATCGTCGACTGAGGCGCGCGCCGCCGAGCAGAAGAGCCGAGCCGCCGCGCGGGGATGGAGCTGGGGAGAGGAGCGGAGGAGCCCGCGCGCGCGATTCCCCGAGCGAAAGAGCGTGCGAAGCTGGCTGGATGCGGACCGGCGAGAGGAGGCGAAGGAGGAAGTGCGCCCTCGGCTCGACCTCTTTCGTCTTCCGAGATCGACGAGCGACTGGAGCGCGCGAGCGCCCGCGTGCCGGCTATAGGCCTCCCCTTCCTACCTTCCTTGGGCCTGCTCCCATTTCCACTCCCGGCCCACTCGGCCTCGCGGAGCTCCCACGAGGTGACAAGCCGGAGATGGGTGGAGGGTGGAGGGGGTCGATGGCGGGAGGGGTGAGTGAGAGAGAGAGAGAGGGGGGGCGGGGGGGAAGAGGTGTCACCGAACGTCCCGTCGATTGAGACGTCCGCTCGGTGGCCCGGAGAAATCGGAAGCCGAGTGGCCCGCCCGGGCGCGTCCTCGTACGAGCTCCACGCTGCTCAAGACGACGATAAGAGCTTTCCCACGGGACGATTTTCCTTTCTCTTCGTTTGACGGCTGCGGGGACGTCCGTGCGCCTGCGCGACAAGCTCCCAGCCCGGCTTTCTCCGAGCCGTTACCAGACCGAAGCTTACCTGAGGTGAGCCTAACTCCGGCTTTTCTCCCGCCTCCACGTGGAAAATGTTCGCCTCGTAAGCTGCCGATCGCCACTTACGTTTACGGACTACGGAGGGACTATGGCTTCCGTGCGCACCACGTCGTCCCGACTATTTTCGCGCTGCCTCCAAGCACCCTCCCCCCCCCCCCCAACCCCTCCTACTCCCCCCTGCCGCCCCCGATCGTAAAGGATGACAATAGCTCTAGAACTCTGCCAATGCCCTATAAAGCTGCTACGAAAAATCCTAAGCGTACGTGTGTTCTGTGCATGTCTCGGAATCAGTCCAATTGGCCCTACAGCTGTTTAACGTCCTTTCATGGTTTCTATATTTTAATTGAACGTAATTCAGTTTCTGCATGGACACGCGCCTCCTATCGAAAACAGAAAAAGTATCGCACGCATGCACAATGTATTAACGGTTCGACAATTTCTATGGGAATAATGAGCATCGGCAACAAAACGGTACTTTAAGACTAAAAAAAATGAAAAAAGAAGGTGAACACGTCGCCTTGATACTCTGGTCGCAGTTCTCCTTGTCTACTGCCTTTATTTCGATTCGCTAAGCATTATGGAATGGAAAATGCATATTCATCGATCCTCATAGCTAACAATCAGAGTTGTTGCGTAATCTGTACTTAACGATGGACTATATGTTTTTATAATGCAAATATTTGATCGATTAAGTGAAAGAATGAAAAACTCTTTCCAACTGCATGTACCTGCTTCCTTTTACTTTGTCGATCTAATTTTTGCACGCCAATGTCAACAAGCTTCAAAAACAAAACGAAACAAAAAAAAACAAAAACAATAACAATATCCCAAAAAAAAAAAAAAAAAAAAATTTTAAACGTAGAGTGACACGATATACGTAGGAGGAAAATTGATGAGTTTTAACATATATTTTTCTCTCTAAACGCGTACAGATATTACAGCACCTACAGATTGTCGTTGAATTGAGAGAGAAAAATGAGAAGCATGTCAATTCGTTAAAAGAGGAAGATAACCTCGAAATGATATCGCCGACTCTTCTTATAGTAACGTAATGCCATCTAATTATACGTTGATCTTACGAATGTATTTGAATCAATAAATTGTCATTTATTGAAATACGAACGCTATTAATAGATAATATTTCAATCTGGAACAAGTTGTCATTGCCTATATGACCTACATACTCTATTTATACTCATTGAGCTACTAGCCACAAGATAAAAAGATAAAAATTCGAATAATTTTTATGACACTTAACAAGAATAATCTTCCAACGTTATAAAAAAAAAAAAAAAAATGTGCTTAATGCATTACCGATATAATGATAAGTAAGGGCAGGTTGACTTATAAGTGTGCATAAAATGAATATAACCGAGCTTTTCTTTATTTTTATCTTGAAACATTCAAAAATATTCTATTCTACCCACCTCCAAGTTATAATAATGAAAATTAGGATTCTTACTAATAATGGTGTTACTTTTGTAAATAAAATATAAAATATGTAGTCCATAATGATCCACTTTGATAGTATATAAAACTATTTTTATTATTTATAAGTGAAATAAATTTCAATTATATACATTAAATCCAAGACTTGCATTAATTAAAAATTTCATTAATGCCATAAATTAATTTTTATATCCAGAACTGTGCGAACATACTCTCATATAATATATATAGTAAAGTAAAATATTTTCCAATTTCAGCTTTCAAAAAACAAACCTAATCAATCCACGTGGCTGAGTAGATCGATTAAAATTTTCTTCGCGATGTTTATTAGAAGATAGTTATAATTGTTAGATAAAATTGCAGATAGGATTGAGGTAATGGAAAGAAAATAGAAATGAGATGATTTTCATAACAAAACAAAGAGAGAAAAATTAAAAATAAATAGAAAAAAAAGCCAAGAGTACGGCTATAATAAATAAGCGTAAGAAAGAAGCGGCCGGAAGAGAAGTCCGATCGAAGAGTCGTAAAAAAAAAGAAAAGAAGAAAGATCGTAATACAGATTTTTAAAATGAAAGTCAATAAAGTGAGTGGCAATAAAGTAGAGAGAAACTATTATTATTATACAGCAAAGTATGGAAGTGATTAGCGCCGTTGGCGCCCGGAGCTCGCGAGCCATTCGACTTTCAGCGCGAATCTAGGCCACTCTCGTAGATATCGTCCTGATCGTCTCCTCGGACGCACTTCCTCCCTCGTCGCGACTCGGATAAATTTAGTCCTCGCGCGCACTGATCGACCGAGCCGATCGTGAGATCGCGGCCGATAGTGGCAGCGCCGATTCCAAGTCGAGATTTTCACTCGTTACTGGGATGGTTGGGTGTGCCGCAAGCTACGTTCCATTTTCCGTCTTCTTTGCGCTTTGCTGCGGGAGTGACGAGAAAGAGAAAGGGTAACTGACTCCACGTCGCGCGAGATCGCACTCGTAGATTTCGGCCAACTCCGTCCACATCTAACATCTCAACCATCCATCTCGATCGCCTTGATCGCCTTGACTGTCATTCCTTTATAAATATCCTGCAAAAATTCAAAATTCAGCTAGACACTTGGTTCGAATTTTAATCACCAGTCAGCTAATCCTTAGTAATAATTTATTAAGATATTAAGCAGCGTCTCGTCCGTTATTACACGACTATTATCAATTGCTTTCCCTAATTCGCCAATCGACGATTGACATATCGAACGATCGTAGCTTATTAACTCCTACACTTACATTATATAACCTCCATTTTGTAAATCACAATTTTAACAATTTACTGTATTCGTTATTAATATTATCAACCCTCACTATAAAATAGACCTTATGAAACGATGAGGAGGAATTGTGGGAAAATTTTATTATCGAGCGAACTTGTGTGAACTTAAGTAACCTCAAGTTTTATACGGGCTATGACAAAATTGTTTTATTTTACGATTTCGTTGGAGCGGAGTTTTGGCGGAGGTTCGCAATTCATTTTCCCAATTCCATCCACAATATTTCTAACTCGTTCAACCAATTTACGACTATCTAATTTACTGTTTTTTTTTTTTTTTTTTTTTTTTTTTTTTTTTTTTAAATACAACTTGTTAATTATTATACATTACTTATTGTGAAACAGACTTTAAGTAACTTACTTTACGAACTATCGTTCGCGAATACATCCTACCGAGTGCATAGGCGTGATTTATCATAAATCCATAAATTTATCCTACTACTTACTTATTTAATATCGTAGGCTTTGTAATATGCACATGTATATATTTGTAATAAAACATCGACACTATGCGATGAGACACGATATATAACATAAATTAAATCATAAAAATAAGAAAAACAAAAAAATTGTATTTTCAATAAATCCGCAGATTATGATGAACTTTTTATTTTAGTATCATAATGTAGTGCTAGTAAGGGCTGATAAAGTAATAAATGAAAAAAAAACGAAAAAAACGAAAAAAAAAAAAAAAAAAACGAAAATAAGGAAATTAAGGAAGAAAGAAAGAATGAACATTACTCTCCGAGGCAAGTTGATTTACCGATAATATCTAAATATTATAAACTTATGAATAAAAACTTATAAACGGTATAAGCATACTATACTACTTATGGTGTGTGGTAATGTGTTTGCCGACGCTATTGCACTTATGAGAAATACCCGTTTTATGACATTAATTAAAGTCTTGAAGAAGATTTTTTTCGTAAGCAAGAACTACTTTTTGCCAATTCCCTTCGTGGAAATGGAGAGTTACTCTCATTAATAAGGATTTGTGAGAGAAATTTTAATTCAATAGTTTATTAGAACGAGTAGTTTTGTTCTGGATAGGTTATACTCATCATTTATGACTTTCTTAAAGAAGAGATAAAAAATAATCGACTATTATGACATTGCGGATATTGTTGAGATTTATTTAAAAGGAGAAAAGGAAAATATTTATTTACCTGATCCTAAATTTCATCAATTTCTTCATCTTACGTTCATATATTTTTAATTCTTCATCATTGTTTCGAATTTATCGAAGAAGTTTTCTATTTTTCTTTTTTTTTTTTTTTTTGTATTTTTTTTGGGTTTGAAATATTTCCCACTACGATTGATCGTTGACACATCTTTATATAATATTAAATCAACATTTAGACGATAATTATATAAAATTATGGATAAGATTCCAGGTAGAAAAAAATATTAAAAAAGTTTTTACAGATAACTAAAAATATTATTTCTAGTTATACAAATTCATTGTTAATATTTACTTTCTTATCCATGCTGAATTTTT